TCTAGATGCTAATCTAGTAGTTTGCTTAAACTCACCTAGTTCAGGACCAGAAAAAAAAAACTCGTCAGAGCAATTGCCATGAAAATATTTATAGAAAAGACAGAGGGTGGGGAGGGGGCACGTCACGTCGGCGTGAAAGTTACTGAAGCCGACATGCCAAGTCAGGATCGATTATATTATACATTCTTTGGATCCATTCTTTGGATTTTGCGAAGAACCTCGAGATGTGTAGCAGGTATACGTGGCAATATATGGCAATAGTATCAAATGCATGGATGAATGGTAGATATGTGTGCAAGGTGGAATTTAATGAGAAAAAAACATTCTTGCACGATTCTGTCGTTCCACTTCAAGCCAGTTGAAAACGTGAGGCCAAGAATGCCAAGTGTGTTGCTCTCTATGAATCTAGCATCAGCCATGCTGTTCGTGAGCAGGAAAGTTTGTCTTTGGTGGTTAAATGAGAGCAGTTTCGTATTGAATGCATTAAAATTTAAGGGCCATTTCCTGCCTCAGTTAACCACTGTCTGGAGATCCTTTTCAAGAGCAGCCATGTTAACTTTGCCAACTTTGACGGATTTGCTATTTAGATAGAAATAATGGTAGTGTCATCGGCATAAATGTCTACTTGTGAACTGATGACATCAGATAGATCATTGAAGATCAGAAACAGTGTAGGATCCAGCATAGAAATTTGGAGGACATCATCGTTCGTGTGAAATGCTCTGGAAGCGACCCCGTTCAAAACGACTTTCATTACATGATCTGATAGGAAGGATTAGATTAAATTTAACAAACGTCCAATAATACAGTAGCCCTGGAACTTACGTAGAAGACTAGTGTGCCAAACCCTGTCAGATATATAGATATTTAAAGCCAGAGCTTCATCGTTATTATCAGGATATTCAGTGATGACTGTTAGCGAATCAGCGGAAGACCTGGCAAAACGGAGTCCATATTGTTTGTGGTCGTGAGAGGTAAGATGCTTTATCACTTGTGAGGAATAAGACGGTTCTTTAGAGTTCTTAAAAACAGGAACTACTGGGGGGATTTCCAACAAGCAGGAAAACAAGAAACAGGGAGGCAATAGTTGAAGAGAATGGAGATAAATAGAGCCAGCGCAGAAGCACATTTTTTTAACACGTCGGCTTAGATCCTGTCACTTCTGCTTACCTTATGGGAGTCTATTTTAGAATCATAGTCAGAGACCTGGTGTGGGGTTATGCGCATATCACTCAGTAGAGTCTCTTTTCTAGGAGGGAAAACAGATGTGGTTGCTCCATTTGAATCGTGTGTTGATTTTGGAGAGAATTTCCAAGCAAAGTATTCAACCTTATTTGCTCTCGATGTCAGGACTTCGAATCGATTGGATAGAGGTGGAATTGAGGATTTACAACTTTTCAGCACACTCTTACAAAGCCGCCAATAATCCCTACAGACGAACTCGCGAGATGCTATACGTTGTTTGATTTTATCAGCAAACAGTAACTTCGCTTCTTTTAGGACACGTTTGCACTCGTTACGAGTAGAGACAAAAAGACGGTTATTGCAAGCAGAAGTGTATCTTTCGTACAGCAACAAGAAAGGATTCTTGTGGGATGCAGACGAGAACTCAGGCGATAAATGCGGTTTAATTTGGGATCTACTTGCTGGGGGAAAAAAACATCAATGCCGGATTTCCACTAAGAGGAGACCTCAGACGCAACGGTCATGAGAGGAAGGGAAACGATAGAGAAAGAAGAGATAACTGTTGACCAGGTTCATCATAGTCTGTTCACAATAGCTGACTGAGTTAATTGGAGAAAAAACAGAGAACTGACAATCCGATACCCTCGGTATGAAAAGACGTTGCCACCATCCACACATGTCACAAAAAATGATGACAGCACAAATATTAAGGCCTGGGAAAAGGAAAAGAACCAAAATCTCCTTCCTGAACAGAAAATAAAGGATGAGTCTCTTCTGCTCAATAAAAGGGGGAAGAGTATAGACCGGGCGATAGGAAAGACTATCTACTCCTACTAAGAAAAAAAAATCCCCGAAAAAACAAAGAAAGAAAAAAAAACAAACAAACAAAAACAATCAACAAAAAATACAAAAAAAACAAACAAGTACAAAAACAAGACGCTAAAACTAAAGCAATCAAACAAAAAACATGGAAAAAAGTACTAAAAGAAAAGCCAAAATAAAAACAAAAACAATGAAACAAAAAATGTAAAAACAAACAAATAAGTGCAAAAAGAAAACCCCAAAACAAACAAACAAAAACAATGAAACAAAAAATGATAAAAACAACAAACAACTCCAAAAAAAAACAAAAACAAACAAATAAACAGAAACAATCAAAATAGTAAAAAAAAAACAAACAAGTACAAAAAGAAAACGCCAAAACAGGCAAACAAGCAAAAACAATCAAACAAAAAATGGACAAAAACAAATAAGTACAAAAAGAAATCCCAAAACCAACAAGCAAACAAATAGAATCAAACAAAAAATACAAAATCAAACAAACAATTACAAAAAAACCCCCCAAAAACAAACAAAAACAATCAAACAAATAAATGAAAAAACAAAAAAAACAAAAACAAAACAAACACGTATATAAAAAGACCCAAAACAAAGAAACAAACAAGCAAAAAACAGTTCTGATTTCGATTTTCAATTATTTCGTGGAATGAACATTCAGATAAGTAATTTGGAATGTCAATCAGCAGCCGTAGAAAGTTTGACCAACCAACGTTTCACTGACATTCTAATATATTAAGATCTACAGTAGATAATAGAAATGTGATAACAGAATTTGTAAACCTCATACTGTCCCTTTTAATGTAGCTGGTCAGTGTGGGAATGTAACAGTGAGCTTCACACTTTATGGACAGAGTTAACTGACATCGTTTCAATGGTGCTTTGATACAATTATGGCGACTTTGAAGTGAATTTTTCTGATTTCCATTGTCGAAAGCATAAGACAATGTCTCACTTAGGACGGGAGGTGATGGTCGGGAGTGGGGCTGCTTTAGTTAATCTAACTACTTTTCTTTCGGCTTCTATCAAAGGAATTCGAATTCTTCCCAGATAGTAGCAATAACTAGTCAACCACAAACGAATGGCACACCGTGTATATATATATATTTTGGATAGATAGATAGATAGATATATATATATATATATATATATATATATATATGGACAAAGAATTAAATGAAGGAGATGAAGGTAAAAGTTTGAGTTTTGTTTAAGTTATAAGTTCCAATATGCAATTTGTTGGGTATTTCCCCGGATGTAAGATGACAGTGAAACGTGATATAAAAGAAACACAACCCCCCCCAAAAAAAAAAACAAATAGACAACATGCAACAATTTAAATAAATGAAATTTATAAAAAAAGAAAAGTTTTCATTTCGACGATATCAGGGACTGGAAAAGGGCAACTGGTAAGTTTTTGTAATGAATGCAGAAAGTCTTGAAGATGACAACAATAGCATAAGGTGGTGGATATATTAACTGAGGCAAAATGGTGTTGAGAATTACCAAATTCTAGCCTTCCATTTTTCCCCAATATTTTTTAACCAGTTTAAATTTCTACATTTTGAAATATTTGTGGAATACATCCACTTTGTTGGGGAACCGTCAAGCCATATTTCCTCATTCAGTTAGCCACACAGGCAGGACTCCTTTTAAAATTTTGTATCGAGAATTAACACTAATTAAAGTACTAGCACCTTCTGCGGGCGTGTCCACATACTCGCAAGCATACATACACACACACATACATATATATATTCTGAATCCAGAGCTGTCAGGGCTATATATATATATGTATGTATGTATCACCCTGACGGATCGGGCTTCAGAATACGCCGACTGCAACTCTACAGAGGTGTAAGCCCAACCCCCGCCAGGGAGGCATTCTTGGTAAACTACATCTGCCTCTTGGGTAAGACGATAAAGTACGCCCAAAAGCAAGGCCTCTAATCATGCTGTTTTGAGGATCGTAGAACAACCTCTTATTTGCTGGTATTACCAAGTTCATTGTAAAAATAGGTTTTAATGCCAGCAATGAATTTCTGAAGAAAAAAATATTACCAGAAATATTTGACGTTGATATGCCGTGAAACAAAGCAAAACAAGACAAACTATATATATATATATATATATATATATATATATGTGTGTGTGTGTGTGTGTGTGTGTGTGTGTGTGTGTGAAAATATATAGAAAATAGGAAGGAACTGGTTAGGTAAATAATCCAAAGTCCCTTAGTATTTTAGTTATTATTTTTAAAAAATAGTGCTCGATACAAAAGTAGAGCATAAATATAATTATTTATTTAAAAATATGATTCCAAATCGCTACATAAGAGGTCTCACGTTTCAAAACAAGAGCCGAAAACTTCAATATAATCCTTTAAATTAAATTGAGTTGAAAGTAAAATGGGCTCCGTTCCATCCTCAAGCGAAATTTTTGTTGGAATTCCAACAAAAATTTCGAACTGAACGAGGAGGAACAAAAGAAAACCTTTTATTTAACACTCTCTTGAAGAGCTACCAGTAGTCACGAGAACCAAATGTCTTAAACAGTACCTTATTCTGTCATCGAACAGAGATATAATCACTTTGAGGACACGTCTGCAATTATTACGAACAGACACAAAGGGGCGTCAGTCTTGATCGAAGTTATAACGTTGGTACAGAGGGAAGAAGGGATTCCTTTGGGTCATGTTGGTTGAACAGGAAGGTGTGAACCAAAGAGATTTAGGTTTCACGTTAAATAGAGTATGTACAAAAGCGTCGATGTTGGTTTTTATCCAAGAAGACACTATAGTGGCACAATTCTCAAAATATGAAGCTTAAGAATTTAACTGCCAAAAACCTGTTATGATAGACGATGGAAAATGTTACACAAAAATCCGAAGACATCTTGGAAATAAGGAAGAAGCCTTCAAGAAACTAAAAAAAAAATACCAAGAAATAGTCTTAGTATATATAAAACGCCAAAAGCGG